CTAAAAACTCTTTTTAATTATTTATTTATTTATATTTTATCCTGACCTGAGGACATTTTTCCTTTTTTTTTTTTTTTTGTTCAGATAGAGTAGGAGGGAGAGAGAGAGAGAAACATCAACGTGAAAGGGACACATCGAGTGACTGCCACCCACACAACCCAACCAGGGCCGGGGACAAACTGCAACCATGATACATACCCCTAATGGGAACCAAACTCGGGTCTCTCTGGACCACAGGCTGATGTTCTAACCACTGAGCCAATCCGGCCAGGGCAACACTTTTTTTTTTTTTTTAAAGAAGGAATTATAAAGTTCTTGAAACAGAAATCCCAGTGGGGGTATATGATGAGATCCAACAGCTGAACTAGAGATTGGGAAGAGGAGGGAGGAAGGAGTAGGAGGAGGCTGGAGGGGGTGGGGGGCACAAGAGAGGAGAGAAGGAAACCAAGAACAAGGAAGGAGAAAGAACAAGGAAAGGAGAAAGAAAAATGGGAGATGGGGGTAGGGGAGGCAGAAGAGGGTAAAGGAAGGATAAATGGTGAAGGAAGGATACTTGACATGAGGTAGTAAACACATGAAAGAAAAAAAAGAAACGAAGGAAGGAAGAAAAATGGTGGTGAAGGGATAAAGAACAACTAAACTCATCCCCTTTGAACCCTGCAGAACAAAGGCAACCTGAAATTTCCCAGGGGTGAGGGTGAGGTTGGGAATCCAGGAATCCTGGTGCTGCCCTGCTGAGCTGGCTTATTACTTTGAATGTTGCCTCTGCCAATTTCCACAGTTGGACCTCAGATTCCCTTTCCCACCTCAAAGGACCTCTGATTGAAGAGATTTCTTCTTTTTTCTTTATTTTTTATTTTTTTATTTTTTTTTTATCCTCACCCGAGGACATTTTTTGTTCAGGTACAGTGGGAGGAAGAGAGAGAAAGAGAGAGAGAGAGAGAGAAACATCGATGTGAAAGGGACACATCGAGTGGCCGCCACCCGCACGACCGACCAGGGCCGGGGACAAACTGCAACCAAGGCACATGCCCTTAGCGGGAACCGAACCCGGGTCTCTCGGGACCGCAGGCTGATGCTCTAACCGCTGAGCCAAACCGGCCAGGGCGAAGAGATTTCTTCTTTATCAGGGGAGAGGGAACAGGTAAACCAAATCAGCAGCTTTTCAACTTAGTGTACTTATTAAGCACCTGAAATGGCAGCTGCCATTTTTCCTTTTCTTGTGAGCAATAAGCCTTCTTGGCAGTATTCATCACCCCAGAGAACGCCTGACTTGGAGGAAGAAAAAAAACAATTCCTCCCACAAAGATTCCCTAGGCCAAATGGGACATGAAGAGATTGGCAGGTTTATTATCGATTTTTAGGTAGGCCTACTTCAGCCCAGTCCAAACAGATACTCTTAGAAAAGAAGATTCTGTTGCTCACTCTGGCATTCACTTACATTTCCAGGCCTCATAGTGAGGGAATCCTTTGTTATGTCTCATTTCAGTTTTTTTCCTATAATTTCTTTTTTTATCCTCACCCAACGACACTTATCTTCAGATAGAGTGGGAGGGAGAGAGGGGGGAAGAAAGAGAAACATTGACATGACAGAGACACACTGAGTGGTTGCCACTCACACGACCCCAACCGGGGCTGGGAACAAGCTGCAACAGAGGTATGTGCCCTTAGTGGGAACTGAACCCAGGACACTCTGGTCCACAGGCCGATGCTTTAACCACTGAGCCAAACTGGCCAGGGCTATAATTTCATGTTTTACTTCCTTTCCCTCACCCCAGAAGAAAGGAGTGGTCTGATTGTTATAAGTTGCATGTATAGAAACCAATATAGTAGCAACCCATCTCTTTGGGTATATGATTGGAGAATACCATTTAAAGAATCTCATTTTCTGCCCTGGCCAGTATAGCTCAACTGTAACAGCGTAGCCGATGGACCAAGGGCACATACTAGGTTGCAGTTCGTCTTCAGCCCCTGTTGCGGTTGTGCGGGTGGCAACCAATCGATGTGTCTCTCAGACATCGACGTTTTTTCTCTCTCTCTCCCTTCTTCTCTCCCTCCAGCTCTATCTGAAGATTAATGTATAAATGTACTCAAGCCAAGAGTTAAAAAAAAAAGAATCTCATTTTCCACCAATTGGGAGACTGGATTCTTTGTGTGTGTGTGTGTGTGTGTGTGTGTGTGTGTGTGTGTAATTATGGGATTCAAAGTTGGAATAGGGAGGTGATATGAAAGGAAGTGACATATACTGGGAACCTTCCTGGTCCCTTAAATATGATATCTCATTAAATCTTCATAATAGCCTAAAATATAGAGATTATAATTCCCATTTTACAGATGAATAAACTAAGGTTCAGAGGTTACTTGCCTAAAGTCAAATAGCTAACATGTAAGTGGTTAAGTCAGAATCAGATTCACATCTGACTCCCAAATCCATGTTCTCCCTAACAGGGGGCTTGTATATATTACACAGAAACCTGGGTCTTAGTTTCCTTGCATTCCTGGAATATATTTTATTACCTAACCCCCAAAATATGCTAAGATTCTGGCTATTTTCTCATGCCCATTTACAGCAAGGGTAAATTTAGCATCAGAAAAGTGCAATTAACTCCCTTAATGCTTTCCTGTGACCAAATCTGAAGTCACTCTACCTGATGTCTACCTGATGTCCTCATCAGACTGTAATCTCCATCATGGTAAGGACTATGTCTGTCTCATTTATTACTGTATCCCTCCTAGTGCCTAGCACAGGGACTGCTACGTGGTAGACGCTCAATATTTGTTGAATGAAAGAATGGATGATGAAGGCAGAAAGAGAAGAATCTATAAATCAAGATAAAAGAAACTGAGACAAAGATTAAAAGGTAGATATTTATTTAGAAAAGAAGCAAGGAAGAAATGATGTAGCCAGGAAGAGAATGAGAGACAGTAAGATGAAACTCAGCACAAACAAGCAAGATAAATATAGCCTCTTGCCAGTGTCATTTTAAAATTACTTTCTATATTTGAGCCTAAGTGACAAGTGAAATCTCCTCCGTAATTTCCCATGTGTTCAGCTAATGAATTTCCGGCAAATGGTTTTAGTATAGAAGGGCCAATTTGGACATTGTGGGGTTTGGGGTGGTGAGAAAATGAGGGGTATAGAAATAGACTAATTGAGTCTAGAAACCAAATGAAGGGGTAATTGGAGACATGTGAGGAGGAAGCCAAGTTTTGGAACTTGCTCAACATCAAGAAGGCCTGGGAATTGGTTTAACTCTAGCTTATGTCACCATTGTTTCCCTAAATGCCACAGGGGGAGTCCAGAATCCCAGCATGCCTTGCAACTATTCTTTGGACCCCATTGCCTATCTTGTAAAGAGCCTTATTTGTTTATATGGAGGGCATTATATTAATAATTTAATTTCAACCATTGGAGGGAATGAAGAAACTCTGGCTCTTTCAGGTCCATATACCTTTCACACAGTAGGTACACTATAAATGTTGAACCAAATCATTATGAGGGAGAGGAAGTATGGGAATGCACAATCTACCCCTTTGCATCTGTTCGTGCTGCCCACACAAATGCATTAAGTTTCTCTGTATATTGAAGAAAGAGCTCTGAGAGGACAAAGGACCCAGAATAAAACATCCTCTCTAGTTCTTAAAATTGGAAATGTAGCCCACAATTTGAATCAGAACTGCAAATCTTTCAGGTGCCCAAGTATGCTTTTCATTGTTGTTGTTTTATCAGCTTTATCGAGACAGGTCACATGCTATTTAATTCACTACTCAAAGTGTACTATTCAATGGTTTTTATTATAATCACAGAAATATGTACCCACCACCACAATTTTAAAACATTTCCATCAGTTTAAAAAGAAACCCCAGCCTGGCCGGTGTGGCTCAGTGGTTGAGCATTGACCCATGCACTGAGGTTATTGGTTCGATTCCCAGTCAGGGCATATGCCCAGGTTTTGGGCCGGATCCACAGTCAGGGGCATGCAGGTGGCAGCCAGTCCATGTTCTCTCTCACTGGTGTTTCTATCTCCTCTTCCTTCCTCTTTAACATCAATAAAGAAAAAGAACTTTAAAAAAATAAATAAAAATAGCCCTGGCCAGTTTCGCTCAGTGATTAGAGCATTGGCCTGCAGACCAGAGAGTCCTGGGTTTGGTTCCCGCTAAGGGCATGTACCTCGGTTGCAGTTTGTCCCCGGCCCTGGTTGGTGTTGTGTGGGTGTCGCCAGTTGATGTGTCTCTCTCACATCAATGTTTCTCTCTCTTTCTTCCTCTCTCCCTCTCTCTATCTGAAGATAAATGCAAAAATGTCCTCGGGTGAGGATAAATAATAATAATAATAAAATAATAAATAAATAAATAAAAATAGAAAGAAACCCCATAAACTTTAACTATATCCCTATCCCCACAACCCCTAGACCTAAGCAACATGTAATGTATTATGTTTCTACAGATTTTCTTAATCTGGACTTTCATATGAATGGAGTCAAACATTATATGGCCTAGTTTCTTTAATTTTTTTTTTTTTTTATCCTCACCCGAGGATAGAGTGGGAGGGAGAGAGAGAGAGAGAGAGAGAAACATCAACGCGAAAGGGACACATCGAGTGGCTGCCACCTGCACAACCAACCAGGGCCGGGGACAAACTGCAACCAAGGTACATGCCCTTAGCGGGAACCAAACCCGGATCTCTCCGGACCGCAGGCTGATGCTCTAACCGCTGAGCCAAACTGGCCAGGGCTAATTTTTTTTTTTTAAATCCTCACCTGAGGATATTTTCCCATTTATTTTCAGATAGGGTGGGAGGGAGGTGGAGGGGGAGGGAAAGAGAGAGAAACATCAATGTGAGAGAGACACATTGATTGGTTACCTCCTGTATGACTCTGACCAGAGTTCTAACCCCTGAGCCAAACCAGCCAGGCTGGATTCTTTAATTTAATGTAATGTTTTCAAAGTTCATTCATTTCTTTTTTTTTAATGTGAATTTTATTTTATTTATTTATTTATTTACTATAGAACGCTTCATAAATTTGTGTGTTGTCCTTGTGCAAGGGCCATGCTAATCTTCTCTGTATCGTTCCAATTTTAGTATGTGTGCTGCTGAAGAGAGCACTTATTTTATTTTATTTTTTTTATATATATTTTTTGATCCTCACCCGAGGACATTTTTTCATTTTTTGTTCAGATTGAGTGGGAGGGAGGGAGAAGAAGAGAGCGAGAGAGAGAAACATCGACGCGAAAGGGACACATCGAGTGGCTGCCACCCGCATGATCAACCAGGGCCGGGGACAAACTGCAACCGAGGTACATGCCCTTAGCGGGAACCGAACCCAAGTCTCTCTGGACCACAGGCTGACGCTCTAACCGCTGAGCCAAACTGGCCAGGGCAGCACTTATTTTATTTAAAAAAATTTTTTTTTCACCCTGGTCGATCTGGTTCAACGGTTAGAGTGTTGGCCTGCAGACCAGAGTGTCCCGGGTTCAGTTCCCACTAGGGACACGTACCTCAGTTGCAGTTTGTCCCTGGCCCCGGTTGGGGTCATGTGCGTGGCAACCAGTTGATATGTCTCTTTTGTATCAATGTTTCTCTCTTTCTCTTCCCCACTCTCTCCCTCCTGCTCTATCTGAAGATAAATGCAAAAAAAAAAAAAAAAAAAAAATGTCCTGGGGTAAGGAAAGAAAAAAAAGACCTGGCGGTTTGGCTCAGCGGTTGGAGCGTTGGCTTGAGGACCAGAGAGACCTGGGTTCGATTACTGCTAGGAGCACGTACCAAAAAGAAATTTTTTTTCTTTATTGATTTTAGAGAGAGGGGAAGGGAGAAGGAGAGAGATAGAAACATTCATGAGAGAGAATATCGATTGGCTGCCTCCTGTATGCCCCCCACTGGGGATTGGGTTCACAACCTGGGCACGTGCCCTCATTAGGAATCGATCCAGCAACTTCTTGGTGCATGGGTCGATGCTCAACCACTGAGCAATACTGGCTGGGCTCATTCATTCCTTTTTAAAGCCAAGTAGTATTCCACCAGATGGATATGCCACATTTGTTTATCCATTTATCAGTTAATGAATATTTGGGTTGTTCCAACATTTCAGTTATTATGAATAATGCTACTATGAACATCTGTGTACAAGTTTTTGTGTGGACATACGTTTTCATTTTCTTGGGTATATACCCAGGAGTGGAATTGCTGAGTCATAAAGTAACTTTATGTTTAATCATTTGAGGAACTGCCAGATTGTTTTCCAAAGTGGTTACACCATTTTACATTCCTACCAGCTGTGTATGAGGGTTCCAATTTCTCTATGTCCCTGCCAATCCAACTATGCTATTGAGAAATAATAAGCCCTGGCCTGTTTGGCTCAGCGGTTAGAGCATCAGCCTGCGATCCAGGAAGACCTGGGTTTGGTTCCCGCTAAGGGCACGTACCTTGGTTGCAGTTTGTCCCCAGTCCTCGTTGGTCGTGTGGGTGACGGCCACTCAATGTGTCCCTTTCACGTCGATGTTTCTCTCTCTCTCTCTCTTCCTGTCTCTCCCTCTCACTCTGTCTGAACAAAAAATGGAAAAAATGACCTCGAGTGAGAATAAAAAAAAAAAGATAATAAAAGTGCCTTCATGATCCTCTCACTTTAAAAAAAAAAAAGAGAGAGAGAGAGAAATAATAACAACTGCAGGACCTCACTCTAATTAGGGTAGTTTACAGAGTAGCAACAAGAGGAGGACAGGGATGGTGAAGAAATCTCTCTTCTACTCTAAGCCCTTAGGATCAGCCAGAGGGAATACTGCCTTCGCTTGTACTCTCCCTAACTCCCCTGGCCAGGTTAGCTGTCCCCGACATATGTTAAGGATATCTATACTTGTCTTTCTTCTCCACCAGATTGTAGGCTTTAGTCAGGAAGGGATCTCTATTTCCCTGACTTTATCTGCAGTGCCTGAACAGGGTCTAGAAAATAGTAGGTAGATGCTTAATAAATATTGATTTGTTCACTGATTGAACAAATGATTAAATATTTCTCTACTGGTGGTTCCTGTCCAGGGAAGAGAGGAAAAGAACAGTCTTAAAGGCAAAAGGCAGCAAGGAAGGAAGCAAGAAGAAGAGGATAGATGGAGGAGAAAGGAAAAAGCAAGCAAGCAAGTTGGGGACGTAGTGTCCCTTGGGGCCAGCCTTTCAATTATGAGGTCAAACTTAGAACTAATGGGCCTACCCTAACCCTTTGCCTTTCATCTGGCTTCATTTTTTTCTGGAATTTCTTTCTTTTCTTTTTTTAATTTTCTAAGTAAATACTTCCTTTATTCATTTCCATGAAAAGTATAAAAGAATAAATAGCAGAAATAATTACTAGCTTCATGGAGCTTAAAAAAAACATTATAAAAGAGGTGTGGCTTTTTTCCCCTTGTGAGTGAAATAGGTAAACCGTACATAATTTAGGCAAAATGCATAAATGTCTTAATAAGATTCAGATTCAAAAATTTTTCAAAGCCTTAGTTATAAAATACACATAGAACACATACATATACATGCACACTTAAAAATAGTCTATTTTGGCCCGGCCAGTGTGGCTCAGTGGTTGAGTGACGACCCATGCACCAAGAGGTCGCCAGTCCGATTCCCAGTCAGGGCACATGCCCAGTTTGTGGGCCCAATCCCCAGTGGGGCCTTGCAGGAAGTGGCCAGTTGATGTTCTTTCTCATTGATGTTTCTATCTCTCTCTCCTTTCCTCTGTCTCTAAAATCAATAAAAAACAAACAAACAAACAAACAAACAAACAAAACAGACTATTTACAACGTTTTTAAATATTTCTGGTTCCAGTTAAGTTTGAAAAAGAGGAAAAGAGATGAATATCAGGAAAAAATATATAATTATCTCAATGGAAAGTTTTTCTGTATACTGACATTATGTTCATTTATTATCAAAGCCCAAGTTATTTTATTACAGCAAGTCATCCTAATCTTTGTTTTACATTTGATCTAAAATACATATGAGAGGATTAGGGGAACTTCTGGTCAAGATGCCGGGGTAGGTAAATGTGGTATCGTGTCCTCCCACAACCACATCAAAGTTACAACTAAACTACAGAACAACCATCTTCAAAATTGCCTGAAATCAAGCTGAATGGAAGTCCTACAACTACGGAATTAAAGAGGAAGCCGCATCGAGACTGGTAGGAGGGGTGGAGGAGCCATGGGCTGGTGCCACATGCACGTGTGGTGGATAAAAATTAGGAGGATACCTGCGTTGGGAAGGTCCTCCCTGAGGACTGAGGGGTTCCCCATCCCACACCAGGCACCCAGATCAGGGTTCCAGTGCCAGGAAGAGAAGTCCCCATAACTTCTGGCTGGAAAAACCAGCAGGAACTGAGGTTCAGGGAGGCTGAGGAGGCTGGAGCCCCAGGCAGCTCCTCTGAAAGGGCCTGCGCACATACTTACTCAGACTCGCACCCTCCAGGCTCCAGTGTGGGGGAAGCAGCTTGAAAGGCACCAGAATAATATGGAGAACTGAGTTGTTTGGCATTGAAGCAAGGGCTGGAGAGGCAGCTTTCTCCTGGACAGACATGCTGTCAGAGGCCTTTGTTCCTCTGGTGGGCCCTTTCCTAGGACGGTAAACAGCTGCCACATTGGGGACTCCAGCAACCTGGCTCATACTGTTTGCCCCGCCCTGGTGATTCCCTGAGGCCCCGCCCCACCCAACTTTCAGGCCCACCCAAGCTGTTGCCAGTTGCTTTAGCATAGGATTGGCCTGTCTTAGATCCTGCTTCAGGTTTTCCTAAATTCTTTCAAACAAGCAGCATCTAGTCTCAGCTAGCCCCATACCTCTCGTTAAGTAATACACAGAAAAAAACACAGGGAGGCAGCCAAAATGAGGAGACAAAGAAACAGGTCCCAAATGAAAGAACAGAACAAAACTCCAGGAAAAGAACTAAGTAAAATGGAGATAAGCAACCTAACAGATGCTGAGTTCAAAACACTGCTTATAAGGATGCTCAATGAACTTAGTGAGAACCTCGGTGAACCTCAAGTGGGCCTCTAGAGCATAAAAAAGGACCAGTCAGAAATGAAGGATGCACTAACTGAAATAAAGAATAATTTACACAGATTCAATAGTAGGATAGGTAAAGCCAAGAAGCAAACCACTGATTTGGAATATAATGAAGGAAAAAACACCCAATCAGCACAGAAAAAAGAATACAAAAAAATGAGGATAGTGTAAGGAGCCTCTGGAATAACTTCATGCATGCCAACATTCGCATCTTGGGGGTGACAGAAGGAGAAGAGAGAGAACAAGAAATCAAAAACCTATTCGAAACAATAATGGTAGAAAACGTCCCTAATTTGGTGGAGGAAACAGACATACAAGTCCAGAAAGCACAGAGAGTCCCAAACATGATGAACCCCAAGAGGCCCACACCAAGACACATCATCATCAAAATGCAAAAGTTTCAAGACAAAGAGAGAATCTTAAAAGCAGCAAGAGAAAAGCAGTTAGTTACCTACAAGGGAGTTCCCATCAGCTGATTTCTCAGAAGAAACTTTGCAGGCCAGAAGGGAGTGGCAAGAAATATTCAGAGTGATGAAAAGTAAGAACCTACAACCAAGATTACTCTGTCCTGCAAAGCTGTCATTTAGAATCAATGGCCATATGAAGAGTTTCCCAGACAGGGAAAAGCTAAAGGAGTTCATCATCACCAAACCATTATTATATGAAATGTTAAAGAGTCTTCTTGAAGAAAAAGATAAAAATATGAACAAACAAAATGGCAATGACTACATATCTATCGACAGTTGAATCTACAAACAAAATGAACAAGCAGAACAGAACCATTCTCATAGATACAGAGAACATTTTGTTGGTTGCCAGATAGGAGGGGGTTTGGGGAAATGGGTGAATAAGGTAAAGAGATTAAGAAGTACAAATTGGTTGTTAGACTGACAAACTTCAAAGAGAAGGGGGGTTGGGAAGTGGGAAGAAATAAACCAAAGAATTTATATGTATATATGCATAACCAATGGACACAGGCAACAGTGTGGGGAAAGGCAGGAGGGGGGCGGTAATGGAGAGGAGGGGGTCAATGGGGGAAGAATGAGGTACATCTGTAATACATTCAATGACAAAGATAAGTTAAAAAATAAATAAATTAATTAAATACATATGACAGGATTAATTTCTTTCTTTCCCAAATATGAATGGTAAAAAAATTATTTTAAAATACTTCTGATTACAAAGAAAATTTAAACAAACTAAAAGATTAAAAAATATGTAATTTTATACCCAAGATACCCAAGTACAGCTGCTTATGACAAGTATGATTTTATTTGGTAATTCAGTGAAATGAAATGTTATTGCACAAGTACTGTTTCTGTACAGTTATTTCATTTCATAGCTTATCTGTTGAAATTTCAGATGTCTCTCTGTTTTTTGACATGTTCTTCAAACTCCTAGAGCATCAGGGACATTCAACCATCCAAGGCTGTTGGGTGCTGGTTTTGCTGTGCTCTGTCTTTCTTGGGAACAGAGGGAGGAGTATGGAAGAACACTTGCTTCCGCTTAGATGATTACTTGAACTTAATGAACAACCATTGCTAAACCCAAGGCTGGATTGTGAAGGTCACATGTACAAACACACTAGGGCATTGGAAGAGACAAGCTCCCTCAGATCGACTACATTATGCCTGCAAACTGTTTGCACCGGGGTTCCTCGGGGGCAGAAGAGAGTGTACTTTTCATTAGGAAGTTTGAGAGCAAAGTCAAATGCAGCAGGTAGCATGATATTCCTTGATGCCAATCTTGAAACTGAGTTGCATGCAAAGACATATCTCTCTGTCAGTCAATGGAATGGAAAAGCCATTTAAGTCTTTACTGATGTCTCTTTCAGAGAAGGTCAACTGGCTATCCTAACCACATCACATAAATACATTTGCTGAATTTAGTTCTCTCTCTCTGTAGTTTGGAATTTCTTTTCTTTTCTTTCTTTCTTTCTTCTTCTTTTTTTTTTTGTGGTACATGCCCCTAGCGGGAACCAAACCCAGAACTCTCTGGTCCGCAGGCCAACGCTCAACCGCTGAGCCAAACTGGCCAGGGCTTTTCTTTTCTTTTTTGTTATTATTCCTAACAATTTTGTCTTCAAGAATAAGAAATAGACAAACAATTGGAAAAGTAGTTGATATTATAGGTAAATCAACTCACCAAATCAACTCACCAAAATGAATTCAGAATTAAAAAGGATGGTGGTTAAAAAGATTGAGTATGGCCCTGGCCTGTTTGGCTCAGCGGTTAGAGTGTCCGCCTGTGGTCCTGAGAGACCCGGGTTCGGTTCCCGCTAAGGGCATGTACCTCGGTTGCAGTTTGTCCCCGGCCCTGGTCGGTTGTGCGGGTGGCGGCCACTCGATGTGTTCCTTTCACGTCGATGTTTCTCTCTCTCTCTCTGTTCCTCTCTCTCCCTCCTACTCTACCTGAACAAAAAATGGAAAAATGTCCTCAGGTGAGGATAAAAAAAAAAGAAGATTGAGTATGAAAGGGTTTTTTTTTAATTAGGAAATGAAAAAAATCATAATATAGGTTTTCCTCCAAAGGACACTGAATAGCCTATACCTAAAAAAGGTATCCATCTTTTCAATATAACATGAGAATCCGGCCCACTGTTCAGCCTTATTTATAATTGCTGGCCTTCCCTCCACACAATCCTGTCTTCTATCTGGACTAATCTGTGAATCCAATGGTCACCAGGTCATTGGTCCCTCTCTCCCCTAGGCATTAGTATCTCCCTAGCCTCAATTAGTTTATGTCTCTAGAAAGTACACATGCATACATACACACAAACCTCATCTTTCCCTTTCATGAATCCTCAGGGTAGCTCTGCCTTCTCCATTTTGTGTGTTTGGAGGGGAAGAAAGCAAAATATATGAGATTTTTATGCAATTTCTCCTTTAGCAGAGCTACCCAAGACAATTATCCATCCAATCTGCCCCGTTTTATAGCGCTCATAACCCTCCTTTATGAACACACTGTGACAACCGGATGTGGGCATTGATTATGGCAGCAGTCTTTAGCCACATTTCTATTTAACTGCAAAGCAGAGCTCCTGCCTACAAGGCCAGCACAGCTCATTTTTTAATGACTGTATTTATGTAAGCCTTTTCCAACCACAGCCTGTGTCCAACTCCAATAAAACTGGAGAGGATTAGTGCTTGCCACTTTTCCAGTGATTCTGGCCTTCTGGCTTAGGGTCTCTTGCTAGAATCAATTTAGGGCTCTGGGCTCTCTCAGCAGAGGTCTGTGTGCACAGGAAGCACTCCCCCCCCCCCCCCCCCATTATTTAAAAGGTGAGAAAAGATAAGCCCTGGCCGGTTTGGCTCAGCGGATAGAGCGTTGGCCTGCGGTCTGGAGAGACCCGGGTTCGGTTCCCGCTAAGGGCACGTGCCTCGGTTGCAGTTTGTCCCCAGCTCTGGTTGGGTTGTGTGGGTGGCAGCTACTCGATGTGTCCCTTTCACACTGATGCTTCTCTCTCTCTCTCCCTTCCACTCTATCTGAACAAAATATCAAAATATGTCCTCTGGTGAGGATAAAAAAAAAAAAAAAAGTAAGGAGAAAAGATAAAACATGTTGGGGTAGAGGCTGATTCCCAGGGGCTTGCCTGACAAAGGTGCTAGGTGCAATAGATCAGAAGAGCCCTTAGAATACTAGGGGTGAGGTTGGAGTGGGGGTGGGAAAGGGAAGGGGCTCTAGAATTTGGGGAATGGATTTAGGAATCACTGCTGTTGAGCCCTTGCCCCTCTGGGCCCCAGCTTCACCACCTGTTCAGCAGGAGAGAATCATAGATTCCAGCTAGATGGGGAAGAAAGTTTCAGTGTTCAAAAGAAATACTGGTAATTTAGTGAGCATCTGTCCAGCCCGAGGATGTGTCCTCTCTGGCTGATTGTGCCACGTGCAAGTCTGGCAGAGAAAGCCAGTGTTCTTCAGCTGCTGCAGCTCAGCTAAGGATCCCACTGCAGGCACCAGGGATGTACCCCAGTGGGGTCAGGCTGTACGAGTGACCGGCATAATCTACCGGAAAACCTCCTGGAGAGATTTTGAAAACCAAAGTGACCATTGTGGGTGGGTGATCCGTTAGCCGAGTGAGAGCGCTGCTGGAGAAAGCCAGAAAGAGGATCTGCGTGGGAGATGGAAAAAAAGTGGGTTGAGCCTGCAGGAACCCAAACGCGCCAGGCGCCTCAGAACGTGCGTCCTGGGGGCGCTCAGTGTGGGTAGGGAGGAAGCACTGCCGCACGAGGACACACCAGGTTTTCTCTTTGGCAACTCCAAACCCAGAGCCCCCTCCATTCGTAAGTAACCAAAGGGGATGAGAGTCAAACAAATGTAGCCCTTGTTTGGATTCCTACCCTTTCTCTTCTGGAGGCTAACTCCAACAAGGAGTACAGTATGCTACCGACGCCACCGCATTCGCAGTTTCCTAACTCGGTCTTCCCTGGGCGGGGCCCCGCCCACTGGTGCCCTGCCCAGGAGCCTCCCCGGGGCGGGGCTTCTCTCGGCTCCCGGCTGCCTTTTCCTCTGTGGCCTCGGTCGGTGCCGGAGCTCTGCGGCCGAGCTCTGGAAGCGTGCGGGTGAGTAAGGGCCATGTGGGAAGAGGCCTTGGAGGTTTACTAGCCTGGGATAGAGGCAGCTATGGGGAGGCTTCTTTAAAGGCACGGGACGAAACTGGGGTTCGTTTCCTGTTGATCCCGGATTTGGAGGGCATCTTGAAGAGACGCTGGGAGATCGTAGCCCTAGAGTTGCCCGCTATTTTCTACAATCCCTCTTGTGCCTGGAGAGCCACAGGGTTGGTTGGGGAGAGCCTCGCTCCTCAGGCACGAGGGCCAGGGACTTGGGAAGGGTTGTGAGGAACACGTGTCCGGTGGAGTTCCGTCAGTTCCTTCTACCCAAGCCCCTGAAAGGGGCAGGGTATTTTTAGATTCGTGTTTAGTCAGCTCCCTCTAGTTTATTTTTCCTCTTACGTTATTTTGAGGCGGTTAGGAGTGAAATTAGAGACTGTGAAAAAGTATGGTCTTCGATACCCTAACCTTATATAAAAGAGGTAGATTGTAAGGGCGAATGGGTAGGAATGTTTATTAACATTCTTGCAAACATTTTGGTTATTTCCAACCAATAGTCGAGGATCTTTGGCAGGAATGGCCACCTGTCTCAAGTTCCTTTCACATCCATTACTGCAACCAATTATTTTTCTCAAGTAATGCTTTTAAAGAAATACTGTAATCGAGCCCCCCTCCCCCAACCGAGTTTTAACTAGCCTGCCCAATTTTCACTGCCTTTGCTCTTCCAGGATAACTTCTCTCTTCTATTCACTTGTATTTATCATCTTACCTGGAATGTAGCTCCTGATGACAGCAAGTGTTTACTGATACATAACATCTATAGCAGATGTTATCCTATGGGCATAATTTACATTCCATTTAAATCTGCTAATCACCTTGTATAGAGTACTGTTAATAACATTCCAATTTTTACAAATGAGGAGACTGAGGTAGAGCCTTTAAGTTACTTGTCAGCTGTGTTTTGGCTGTTAAGCGTGCTGATACTTAATGACCAGACCATTTATTTGATCCTGTTGAACTGCTGTGGGACATAAGTAACAATAACGTGAAAATAACACTAACCAAGGGAAATTATTTTATTGCCTGTTACTGTTTCTGTAGCTCAGGCCTCACTGTTCCTGGATTTGAGGGCAGGGGTTCTTTTTATTTTTTTTATCCTCACCCAAGGACATTTTTCCATTTTTTGTTCAGATACAGCAGGAGGGAGAGAGAGAGAGAGAAACATCAACGTGAAAGGGACACATCAAGTGGCTGCCACCCACATGACCCCAACCAGGGCCAGGGACAAACTGCAACCAAGATACATGCCCTTAGCGGGAACTGAACCCAGACCTCTCTGGACCGCAGGCCGTCGCTCTAACTGCTGAGCCAAACCGGCGAGGGTGGGGGTGGTCTTGAACTCCACACAAGAGTTCACACTGACTGTTGGCTGATTGATTCTAACCTGGAGTGCTTCAATTGCAGTTGTGGATTTTGGACAGATGCCGCATCAGGTGAGTGCAACTCCATTTGCCTACCTTTAGCCCCAGCTGTAGGCAGCTGCCTAGGTTGCCTTGTACCTAGGCAAGTGTTACACTGCTGGAAGAACAGCAGCCAGTAGCTGGTTGGCATTCTGGGCCTGGTTCATGCCAACTCTCTTGTTAACTATACCAGGATGCCAGCATAGTTGCTTATCCATTCAGGTTAAATCTGTAAGAGCATGACTTTGCAGGGAGAAACCTAAAAATCCAGACCTCTGGTCCAACAGGTTTGGCTGGTATGAAGTTACTTGAATCACATTGGAAACAGAAAAAAGGTAATCCAAGCCATGAAAGGATGGATGTGTAATTAGAGAGGAAAAGTCAGGCTTTTATTTTTTTAGTGTCTACCAAGTGCTCAAAGGGGGCTTTATACAGGGAGGAAGTCCATGGGATTTTTGCTAGTTTCACTGACATCAAAGTTCATGGCTCCCACTCCTCCACCATACAGAGCTAGTATGGATGATCCCTTTGTAGAAGGATTTCCCTTGTAGGAAAATGTTGATGTGAATTTGCTTTAAAATTATGGGTGTTCTTTTGTAGTTCATTAATAAAATGTGAAAATAGCAATTGATTGAGGAGCTGTAGACACTAGGCCTAGCTACAACCCTATACTAATTTCTGCTTTAGGCTGACCATATATTTGTTTTGCTTTCTTTTCTTTTCTTTTTTATCCTCACCCGAGGACATTTTTCCATTTTTTGTTCAGATAGAGTGGGAGGGAGAGAGAAGAGAGAAACATCGACGTGAAAGGGACACATCGAGTGGTTGCCACCCACACGACCCAACCAGGGCCAGGGACAAACTGCATTCGAGGTACATGCCCTTAGTGGGAACCCAACCTGGGTGTCTCTGGACCGCAGGCCAACACTCTAACCGCTGAGCCAAACCGGCCAGGGCTGTATTGCTTTCTTACTGATTTTCAGAAGAAAACAGAGTTGTTGCTTCTTTGGAACAGTGAATCTTGAGCCCCCTTAGTAGTGATTGTTCTGGAATACTAATTTTCTGAGTAGAAATGATTCTCAGTTCTAGGCAAAACACTTATCACTCAGGGTGATGTTAGAGATTGTCCAGTAGAGCTGCCTTAGTTGCTGCTTCTTTGAAAAATAACTTCCTATCTTCCGTAGGAGGAACTGGTGAGGATGTTGGGAGGTGGGGGTGGGGGGTTATTTATCAAAGCTAGTTTTGTTCTATCAATTGGCTTCCCCTTAAAGGATTCTCTTAGCTAAAAGTTGAGTGCTTTGTTTGAATACCTCAGATGTTCATTGTGAATATAGCCTTTTACATGAGGTCTTAAGACTGGTGAGATTTACTGGACTTGAGGTATGGTTAATTTTAATGGTAATCATAAGCAAAAAAAAGGGAAATAAAATTATTTCTGATATTATAAAAAAATAAGGTAAATTATAAATGGCAGGCAGCATTCTGTTTACATCTCTACAGAAAAGCAACCTTAGGAGCTGCTGTTTTAGTCTGGGGTGTTAAATAGTGTAATATCTTTTTCTTTTTAGGATGACTTGAAAGTAGGGCATCCTTGGCCCTCCTGAAGAGAGGAAATGAGTGGCAGGTGGATAGTCTGTATATGGAGTGTTCAGGTAAATGTCCCTATTCATTCCAACCTTAACTATGCATCAACCCAGTTTATTAGTTGGTATCCATCAGGAAACACTGGAAAGCAAAATTACCTATATTTGCCACCCAACAAATTAAACCTGAGTAGGATTTTGATGGTTATGGTCTGAAGGCATGTAGGATTTTTGAGATTATCTACAATATCATTCCATCTGAGGAATTTATAGGGAGATTTTAAGTTCAGTAAGGAGAAGGATACTATATCTTGCCTTGTTCACTGCTAGATACCAAGTACAGTGCCTGGCACATGGCAGAAACCCCCTGTAAGTTGGATAAAATGACGAAAGGCATGGGAAAGGGACTCTTGTTTCCTGATTATTTAAAGGATTTGGCAGCAGGGTCTGCAATCAGTGCTTCAGGCCTCTGTTTTGTAGTCAACATTTAATTCAAGGGGATACTTGTATCCAAGTCTTCCACCTGAGGTGCCTGGGCATCTGAAATAAGAAAGCTGTTTCAGGAATTATCCAGCGGTTGTCAGCTATCCAGGCTAGTGTGATGCCTTGGATAGTGTTACACTGTTGGAAGAGCAAGTACTGCCTTTAATGAGGTCTGGCTCCAAGCACTGTTTTGGTGTTGTGGCCAAGTACCTTTGGGGCAGTATTTTGCACCTCTGAGAGTGGAATAACTCCTCCTGTGGAGTTGGTCCTAGTCTGGGTGCAAACAATTTTTTGTTAGAAAATGACCCATATTAGGGACAGCCTGTCATTCCTTTCCTCTGAATCCTAGGTGCCTTCACCAGAGTGAGAAACCTGCCTCCACTGGGACCTCAGAGCAATCTTGTTTAATTTCAGTTTTTGACATTGGTTCCTGACCAGAGCTCCTAAAGCCCACGGAATTTCCCAGGTGATAGGAATGTCTTGTAATGGGATGATCACCAGAAAGACCAAGGACTGAAACGTAGAATTTTCAGCCCCACCTCCTATTCTCCAGAGAAGGTTTAGGGGCTGGAAATGGAGTTGATAATTGGTCATGCCTATGTGATGAATGAAGCCTTCATAAAAATCCCAATAGTGTGGGATTCCAAGAACTTCTCAGGTTGGTGAACACATAAAAGTGCTGGGAGAGTAATGCTCCCAGAGAGGACATGGAAGCCTGGTAACCCTTCCCACATACCTTGTCCTATGCTGCTCTTCCATCTAGATGTTCATCTGTATCTTTTATCATGTTCTATTATAATAAATTGGTAAACAGTAACTAAACTGTTGGTGTCAGAAGCGTTGAGAGTGTGGTAGTATGTGAGAGCAAGGGAAAAACATAGAAGTGTTTTCTTTCAGGTAGAAAACTGAAACTAAACTAAGCTCTTATTTCCCAGAGCTCTGTTATGCAATACATATGGCTATTTAAATTTGCAAAGATGAAATAAAATCAGTTTCTCCATCTCAGTATCTAGTGACTACCATATTGCACAGCTCAGAATAATTCCACCAATGCAGCAAGTTTTATTATATACTGTTGTTCTAGAGGAGGGATTGGCAAACTTCCTGTAAAGGGCCAGATGATATTTTAGGCTTGTGTACTGCATTACTATCGGTTGCAACTACTCAACTTGGCAGTTGCCCTGTAAAAGCAGCCATAAACAACATAGCAACAAGTGAGCATTACTGTGTTCCAATAAAACTTTATTTATGGGCACTGAAATTAGAATTTCATAAAATTTTTAGTGTCACAACAAAAAATTTTCCCCAATCCTTTTAAAGTTCAAGGCTCTTTCAAAAACAGATGGCAAGTGCTGGCCAGGGTGGCTCAGTTGGTTGAGCGTCGTCACATGCCCCAAAAGGAGGTCACTGGTTCAATTCCATGCACACAGGAAGCAACCAGTCGAAGTCTGCCTCTCTTTCCATCTCTCCCCCTCTTTCTCTCCCCCTCCCTCTCCCCATTGCCCTCTCTCTCTAAAAACCAAAACATTAAAACAAACAAACACACACATATATATATAGCAGGCCAGAATTGGCCTGTAGGTTCTAGATTACCAACCCCTGTTCTAGAGAATGAAATTCAGGCCTTGAGACTTAACAGCTCGTTAGTGACAGATTCAGGGCAAGTACCAACATGTGAAAATTCCATTTTATCAATACCTTTGCATTATAGCAAGCCTTTACCATACAGCCTTCAACTTCTCATCTTTTAGAGGACTAAGGTGACTTTAGTGGCAGAATAGAACTTATATCTTGTGTTTAGGGTTTATGTATACTTTTTAGCATGGGTTATTTTTATCATAGTGACTCTCTTGAAATTTTTTTTATTTATTTATTTATTTTAGAGAGAGGAAGGGAGGGAGAGAGAAATATCGATGAGAGAGAACTTTGATTGGCCGCCTCCTGCATGCCCCCCACTAGGGATTTGGCCCACAACCTGGGCATGTGCCCTGACTGAGAGTTGAACTGGCAACCTCTTGGTGCATGGGTCAATGCTCAACCACTAGTCGGGCGTCTCTCTTCTTGTAATGTGCACCTAAGGAAGAGGTCCTGAGAAAGACTAGTGGTCTTTAATTCCAGCGGAGCCTGATCACAGCCTCAGTCCTAGATAGTGAAATATAAATAGTTTCACCCAGCCAGAGTGGCTCAGATGGAGCATTGTGCAGTGCACCAGAAGGTTGTGGGTTTAATTCCTGGTCAGAGCACATTCCTGTATTGTAGGTTTGGTCCCTGGTCTCTATCTTAAGGAAGACAGCCAATGGATGTTTCTCTCCTTTTTTCTAAGCATGTCCTCAGGTGAGGTTTGTTTTTTTTTAAAAAAGTCTTCTAAGAAAAGGGGAAATTAAAAAAAAAAAATCCTCACCCAAGGACATTTTTACATTAATCTTCAGACAGAGCTGTAGGGAGAGAAGGAGGAAGAGAGAGAGAGAAACATCGATGTGAGAAAGACACATTGATTGGTTGCCACCCACACAACCCCAACCGGGGCCAGGGATGAACTGCAACCAAGGTTCATGCCCTTGGCCAAATCGAACCCAGGACTCTTTGGTCTATGGGTGACGCTGTTACCACTTAGCCATACCGGCCAGGGCAGAAAGGGGAAATATTTATATGTCATGAATAGCCAGGGTTTAAAATGAGGGATCTCAGTTCCTCGGAGCAAACCGATTGCCATCCTGACCATGATAACACTACCCAGGTGCAGACAGAGGCCCCTCTATTGCTAGTTGAAAAGGGATAATTTAGTCCTGGCCGGTTTGGCTCAGCGGTTAGAGGTTTAGAGTGTCGGCCTGCACTCCAGAGAGACCCAGGTTTGGTTCCTGCTAAGGGCACGTACCTCAGCTTCAGTTTGTCTCTGGCCCTAGTTGGGTTGGGCGGGTGGCAGCCACTTGATGTGTCCCTTTCACATCGATCTTTCTCTCTTTCCCTCCCACTCTATCTGAACAAAAAAATGGAAGAATGTCCTCGGGTGAGGATAAAAAAAAAAAGAAAGGGATAATTTATTTGGTATTTGTGCCTATATTTAATACTCTAAGAGGTTTCAATGGCTTAATCATGTACATTAAGGAAATTTAATGGGATTTCCTACTTGCTAAGTGAAGTTAATTAGTTACCTACTACTCCCTGTTGACTTGGGAGTCTAAGAAGATGAAGTAAAACATTTCAAAGTAGCTTTTCATTCTGTCTCTTTCCCTAGCATCGTTTTCCCATGCTGCAATGGAAACTGAAATTGGACTGGCAGGTTTACTGGTCTGTAAATATCCAAGCTGTCACCTCCTGCCATAGGTAGCAGTTAGTAAAGACAAGTGCCCCACTTTGTTCTGTTCAAGTTTCAGGTCCCAGTCTTGTATCATAGTAAGAGAAAAAAACTAAAGCAGGATGAATAGGGGGCCCCAAGTATTAAATGCTATCCTGTGGCCTGTCAATAATTTATTTCTTTTTCAGAGTTGAAAGAACTACTGTCAAATGGACTTTTGCATTGAAATTTTGGGTTACATCTCAAATTTTAATCAGGAAAACAAAATCCCAGAGTTATAAATTCTGCGGGCTCCTAGAAATTCACACAAAGGAAAATAACCTGATAAGAGCAACTAATTAAGAACTTTAAAAAGTGACAATGATTCCTGTCACAGTCGTCCCTCGCCACTTCACGCTTCGACTCTTGCGGTTTTTTCAAATATATTCATTAAAAAGTTGATCAAGACAGTGAAAATGATACAGCATGCGGTCAGTTGTCTGAGTCAATTATACACCCCTGTATTACAATTACAATTAAAATTACTGTACGTATGGACTCTAGGCCTATGTATTCCAGCACCCCAGGAATCCTTCAACGCCAGGTGTAATCGCTCAACCACTCCTTGTGTGGCAGTAACTTTTTTCCAAAACATCGGGTGTGGTGAAACCAAGCCAGTTAGAGTGTGCTGGCCACTGATTGGCTCAGCCTCATGCTAGTTTCTCTCATACATGCTTCTATATCGCTATGTATCAGAAGCATCTTTGCTCTTGTGTTTGCGATTTCTGAGAACTTTTACTCATGATGGCTCCTAAATGTGCTGCTGCTTATAAGCCTTCTGATGATGAAACTTAAGTGCTGGAGGAAGATGCTTACCATCTAGGAGAAAGTGAAACTCTTGAATATGATCAAAGATGGCAAGAAAATTGTGAAGGTTGCCTGCCATTATGACTTGAATGAGTCTACCGTTCTCTCTCCATCTGGGTTTTGTTTTTTGTTTTTGTTTTTTTTAATCCTCACCCAAGGACATTTTTTCGTTTTTTGTTCTGATAGAGTGGGAGGGAGAGAGAAACATTGACGTGAAAGGGATACATCGAGTGGTTGCCACCTACATGACCCAACCAGGGCTGGGGACAAACTGCAACCGAGGTACATGCCCTTAGCGGGAACCGAACCCGGGTCTCTCTGGACCACAGGCCGACGCTCTAACTGCTGAGCCAAACTGGCCAGAGCTCTCACTCCATCTATAAAGATGAAAAGAACATCCATGCAACAGCTACTGTCTCTTTCAACATAGAAGCAAAATGCATCGTGACAAGTCGTAGCAAGTTCATAGTGAAAACGGAGTCTGCCTTAGCCACTTGGATCAGCAATAGCTGCAACAAAAACAATCCGTTGGATTTGATGGTCATCTGAGAGAAGGCGAGGCAGCTCTATCAGCGCTTTACAGTGGATGAACCTCAACCAGGACGCTCTTCTGCAACGTTCATGGATTTCACAGTGAGCAAGGGTTGGTTCAAGAAGTTCCAGAAGAGGTATCATCTGAAAAGTGTTGTTCTCCATGGAGAAGCTACCTCTGCTGACCAGCCTGCAGCAGAGGACTACGTGAACAACATGTTCCATAAGACCCTTGAGGAGGATATCATCCAGAACAAGTGTTCAATGTGGACGAAACAGGACTGTTCTGGAAAAGAATTTCTTCCTGGACATTCATTTTCAAGGATCCCTTGGCAGTGGATAAGGCAGTTAGGCTAGCCCAGTTGCTGGGAGGAGAAATTTTCATGGATATGACCCATGACGATGTGGATGAGCTGCTGGAGACACATTCGGATCCCTTAACTGATAAGAATCTGGTGGAGATGACTAAGTCTGCGAGTGAGGAGGAGGAATAGCAGCCACAGGTTCCTGGGGGTTAGGAGGAGGAAGTTGGCCTTACACTTGAGCATCTCTCGGAAGTCGTGAGAACTATTGAGGTAGTACAGGACATGATTGGTGAATGGGACCCACAAATGATGCGTGCATTGTGGTTCCAGAATGCACTTGATGGAGCGATAGAACCCTACAAAAGCCTCCTCACACATATGAAAAGATAGCACCAGTAACTGCCTACTCCTAGTACTCCTTCAGTGGAAGATGTCAATGCACCTGCTGAAGATACTGTACCACCTGAAGACTCTCCTACTGAGGTCATGCCTTCAGAGGAGCAGTAACCTTGCTCTTCTTTGCTGTGCAGTACATCTCTTCATAATCGAACAAGTTACACTATTTTCATAGGTTAGTGGTTGTGTGTAAGAACTGTGTGTGTCTGTAATTCAATGTACAATAATATAATATTTGTAATGTCTAATGTGTCTTATTTTCTCTTATTTTGTCTAATGGGTAATACGAGTATAATGGTGACTAAAGGGTGTTGCTTAATTGGGGCTTTATAAATAGCTCTAGTTAATGAGCCTGTCAATATTCTCTTGAGAAACTTTTATTCAATTAACAAATCAACTATAATACTTAAAATGACTGCGTAAAAATATCTTTCTCTTTGTTGCTTTTTTTTTTTTTTAACCTCACCCGAGGACAATTTTGCATTTATCTTCAGAGCAGGAGGGAGAGAGGGAAGAAGAGAGAGACACATCAACTGGTTGCCACCTACACGACCCCCAACCGGGGCTGGGGACAAACTGCAGCTGAGGTACATGCCCTAAGTGGGAACCAAGCCTGGGACTCTCTGGTTTGTGGGCCCACGCCCTTACCTCTGAGCCAAACCGGCCAGAGCTTTTTGTTATTTTAATGAGCCCACTTGGTGGGTTATATATTTGTATATTTGTCCATTGAATTTTTTTTTTTTTTTAGAGATAGAGGGGGAGAGGAAGGGGGAGAGAGAAAAAAACATTGATTGGCTGCCTCCTGCATGCCCCCTTCTAGGGATTAAACTCGTAACCTGGGCACGTGCTTTGACTGGGAATTGAACCAGGACCTCTCAGTCCATGGGATGATGCTCAATCCACGGAACTAAGATTGAGTTTTTCTCATTATTAGGTTGGGTTTAAGGGATTTTGAGAGGAAGACCACAGAGGTAAGTAAAGTGCCATTCTCATCACATAATCAAGAATACATAATAATCACTTGGTTGGTGTGGCTCAGTAGATTGAGTATTGTCCCATGGACTGAGAGGTCCCATTCGATCCCTAGTGGGGGGTGTGCAGGAGGCAGCCAATCAGTGTTTCTCTCTCACATCGATGTTTCTATCTCTTCTTTCTCTATCTCTCTAAAAAAATCAATAAAGGCATTAAGAAAAAAGAATGTGTACTATCAGCGTGATTTACTGTTAAAATGAATTTTTATATGATTTTATTGAGAAAGGAAGGGAGAGAGAGACATCAATTGGCTGCCCCCTGTACACCTCCTACCAGGGATTGAATTCCCAACCTGGGCATGTGCCTTGACTGGGAATCAAACCAGTGACCTCTTGGTGCAAGGGTCGACACTCAAACAACTGAGTTACATAGGCCAGTATAATCCAATAATACGTTTTTGTTCAAATTGTTCCAGCTTTAATCATTGGGAGCTCTTTCAGTTGGCTCCTGTGTCCCTTCAGTGTTGCCCCACCGTTGTGGGGATATTGTTGTTTTTCAGGACTTCTCCCTTTATGGCACTGTAAAATGCTCCAGACTCATTTTTCCTGCACCAATCCCAGAGTCAATCATTTATTGATGGTATTAAGGAACTAAGATCTGGGCGCTAGATATGCTCTTGATACTGGGGTGTTGCTTCTAGGCCCTGTCAGATGATAGAACAATGAAATACATATGTATGCTAACCAGGATCCATAGTTGATTTCTTATATTCTATAAACATTCCATTTTTAATATTCAACACATGTATCCCATTGTCTTTTTTTATTCTTCATCTAGAATAGTGAATGAACCTGTTGTCTTTTATAGTGGATGCTGTAGTCTCCAGGTGACTATTTTTTACCTTATGCACTCACAGTAGGGGAGGGGAATTTTATTATCAGCTGCTGGTCAAAGGGAAGAGCCAAGCCCAGGCCTTAGGGTCCTAATTAGTTGAAGGAGATTGGAGATGTCCTCAAGGGGCAGAACTTCTGAGTTAGAATCATGGCTTCTACAATGGCAGATAGTAGAACTTTTTCTTCTTTTCATCAGTTTTAATTCTCTGGGAGAACTCAAGGGGCTAAGTAATGTAATATGCTGGCCACCCCAGTGATGGGTTGGACATGAGACAATGAACAGGAAAGTGAAAGGACAGAGTAGAAAAGTTCTGCTCTCTTTCTCTGCCATTGTGGTGTGTGCAGTTGATTCTCCTTCACCATGTCTTCTTACAAGACTTTCAGGATCTAGAGGTTCCTGGCCAAGAAACAAAAGCAATATTGGCCCATTCCCCAATAGATTCAGATGAAAACTGGTAATAAAATTAGGTACAACTCCAAGAGGAGACATTGGAGAAGAACCAAACTGGGTCTATAAGGAATCACATGAGAGATGGTTCACATATCTATGCTGTATCCAGGTTGCCTGCATCTTCCCATATCACTGAAAATAGCACTGCTGACCGTTGGACATTTTAATTGGGAAATTATTGGAAGCACCATTTTTCTCTCTTGTTTTTTTCCTGCAGTAGGTTGGTTCAGTAATAAATGTGAGACCTTTAAAAAAGAAAAAAAAGTTCTGTCCCAGCCCTGGCCAGTTTGGCTTGGTGGTTAGAATGTTGGCCTGTGGACCGAAGAGTCTCAGGTTCGATCCCTGGCCCTAGTCAGGGTTGTACAGGAGGCAGCCAACTGAGGTGTCTCACATCAGTCTTTCTCTTTCTCCCTCCCTCCCTCGTTACCTTCCTCTCTTCCACTCCATGTAAAAAAAAATAATGGAAAAATAGCCTCAGATTAGGATTAAACAAAAAAAGAAAAGTTCTGTCCCAGCCTATACAGTTGTCCCTCACCACTTCACGCTTCGACTTTCGCGGCTTCACTCTATCAGTTTTTTCAAGTATAGTATAGTATTTGAAAAAACCACAATAGAGTGAAGCCGCGAAAGTTGAAGCATGAAGTGGCAAGGGACAATTGTATATAAATGAAAAATCCTACTTTGCAGAAATTAATTTGTTGTGCTAGAGTCTAGAACTGATTAACTGCGATAAACGAGGGCTGACTATACTACTATTCCCATGGCACTGTATCCTTTTCTATACTGGGTTTCCATTTCTTGTCCCTGTAGCACCCAATCATAATGTTTATCCAGGCAACATCTTTCAGGGACTGCTGAAATGTCTGTTTGCTAGTGCCTTTACACTTATTACAAGTGCCAAATACCTTTTATTCAGGTCGTCAGCATCTTAGCACTCTTGGCTGTAGCTTGAGGACAATTCCTTTTGCTCTTAACATATACAGAGATACCTTTTAGCCTTTAAAAGGAGTCCCCAGCCCTG